GATGGCAAATAACAACAACAAAAATTATTTGCAGAGTGTCCAGGGTTTCTCTTTCCCTTCTTTCAGTTTTCCCAAATTCAGTGATTAAATTGCATTTAAAAATATGCTTGCAATGCTCTTTAAAACATTTAAGATCTAGTCATTAAATACAAAAGCAAGTTAGAAATTATTGTGTCAATTAAAATGTGCACATTTATAACATCCTAAAGTTTAAGGTGGAACTTTTTAATTGGGAAACTAACTAAAAGCGGAATATCTTACCAGATGTTTTCACTTTATTTAATAATTTTGAATGTTCAGCACATCTGTGAAAGTCTTCTAAATCAATTCAACAAGAACTTGCAGAGCAACCACCATTGGTTCAATTTTGTATTAGGTGTCAGTTCCTAAAGATGACTGGGAAAAATTCTTCCAGTTGTCCTGTTGGATTACTTAAAATACATGTTTTAAAAAATGCAGAACTTTGTTCTAAAGGAAAATAAAAGTCTTTAATAGAAACCTTAACTTTCCAAAGATATTTCGGCCTTTGAAAAAAGGCAGCTTGAACAGGCAAGAGTTTCACTCTGTGAACACTTAAGTGAAAATGAAATAAATAAACAAAACGTAAGCAAAAGAGGTCTTCAAATGTATTTTGTTTCTTCTGCTGGGCACTAGTACATTTTTAAATTCTTCATAACCAAACATTAAGAAATTTAACTTCAAGTTACAATTTTTAAAACAGTTTAACAAAATCAATGCGTTTTGCTATTGTCTTTGGTAAACAAGATCATTTCCAGAGACTTCTGTTTTGATATACTATCCTTGTCTAAATGGATTTTCAGTTACCTGAGAACAGACTTAGCTTTTTTGTTCTGAAAAACATTGTTTTAGAAAGAGATTGGGAGCGCTGATTCATAGTATTTTGTCTAATCATCTGGCAGTCTCAATTTTAACTTGGAACTGCAGTTTCTATCTCTCCTGTTATTCTACATTTCTCCAAGGTCCGAGTCAGGTGACTGGTAGAACTGAGTAATTTGAGACAGTGTTTCCAAGTGTTAGGCGGAAGCCTGAAACCGTCTCAAAACTTTGGGGATGGGTGGGTGGGTGTTAACGTTCAAATCTTCACAAGGCCCCCTAACCGACTGGAAGGAACGAAGTGGGTGGAGCCTCCTGACCCGGTCCTCGCGCCTCTGTTTCTAGGGACGCTGCGCTCAAAGCAACTGTAATGGATGAGGAAGAAGGGCTGACGGCCGTGGACAATATAGTCACTCAGTACAACACCTATGAAGATTTCCTCGACTCGCAGATCACCACTGTGGACTTGTATTACCTGGAGGTAAGGGCTACAGCGCCGCCCCTTGCCTCTAAGGCAGCAACTTTGCCCACGGTTTTTAGTCTCAATCCGTCCCCTAGACCCTCGTCGTGGGCATGTGCCCCCTGGCGGGAGCAGAGCGGATGTCAGGATCCACTGTTTTCCCAAAGCGGCTTGGAAACAGCTGCGAAGGTGAATTGCTGGGTACTTCCCACCAAGTGCTGCTTAGGTTCCGATCTAGTCTGGGACTCTCAAGTCACCTCAACCGCAGAAAGACATACACGCCCCGCGCGCGCGCGCGCAAGCACTCTGGGGGAATCCTGAATTTATCTCGGCCTCTCTTTCTCGCTCCCGTCACACTCCCATTCCAAACTCATTGTGCTACGAAGACAATCTTTGGGTTCTGAGGCCAATTGAGACTTAGTGGATGGAGTGTAATTCAAGACTGACATCCTGTTTCACTTTCTTTTGCCTATTTGTTTTAGAGCACAGAAGATAATAATCCTCTAGGTCAAGTGACAACATCAAAGCAGTATGTTGTTGTTCTTATGTGCCGTGGAGTCGGCCCCGACTCATAGATACCCCTCCTTGGGTTTCCGAGGCAGTATCACTAGGGAAGTAGATTGTTCCATCGTCCTTCTGAGGAGTGGCTAGTGGGTTTGAACCGCCAGCCTTCTGGTTGGCAGTCAAGTGCCTTAGGCACTATGCCACCAGAGCTTCTTTGATATAAAATTGGGTATTTAGCTCCATCAACACTCGCCCCAGGCTAGTTGATTCAGAAAGCAGGAAGCCCTTTCAATACTGGTACGGATTACAGGTAGTTATGCAGGCATAATCCTGACTCAAGTTTATCAAATTCATTATCACAATTGATAATGATAGTTAAAATACAATAGTAATATTTAAAAAACCCTGCAATACTGTCTAGCAAATTTGGACGTAATGTCACTGACTCCTGGCTTCTGCCCTGAAACCATTGTCTACTCATTTCTCAAAGGAGCCCTGGTACTTCAGTGGTTAAGCGCTTGGCTGCAAAACGGAAAAGAAAGGTAGGCAGTTCAAATCCACCAGCTACTCTGGACAGAAATAGGAGGCAGTCTGCTTCCCCATAAGGATTTACAGCCTTGCAAACCCTATGAACAGTTCCACTCTGTTCTATAGGATCCTTGTAGTTACAATCCGCTCCACAGCAACGGATTTACTCTCTTCTCAAAGTTGTGGGTAGTGAGAGGCAAGTATGTTTCATGACAGATGTGTTTCATGAATCACACTATGTGAGGTTGTTCTTTTTTTTTTTTTTTTGTCATCAGAAGTTGACTTTGACTTGCTAGTTTGAATGTAGTAAAATTTTTCTAATATTTTATTGTGATTTTGGAGAAAATTTACATAGCAAAGTAGGTTCTCATTTAGCAGTTTCTATATATAGTATCCAGTGACATTGGTTACACTTTTCACAATGTGTCAGCATTTTCCTTATTTCCATTCTGGTTCCTCTGGTTCCATGAATCCGTGTCCTCTTTACCTTCTTATATTTTGTCTAAGGTTGATGTTGACCATTAGGTCTCATGTAGATGATTGTTTAGGTGACCACAGGACCTAAGAACAGAAACAACAACATTTGGGATTTCTTACCTTTCTATATTAAGTTGGTGGTATGTCTTTCCATTTTGCTAAAGAACGTTGTTGGAACTTGGACTGGGATTGCATTATATGTATAGATCAGTTTGAGTAGTACTGACATTTTCAAGATGTTAAGTCTTCCAATTCGTGAGTATAGAATGTTTTTCCATTTATGAAGGTCACTTTTAATTTTTTGCAGTAGTGTTTTATAGTTTTCATTGCACAGGTCTTTTACATCCCATGTTAGGTTTATCCCTAGATATTTTATACTTTTGGGGACTACTGTTAATGATATTGTTTGCTTGATTTTTTTTTTTTTTTTAGTTCTCCTCATGAGGGTAAAGGAACTTACCTTAATTTTTTTGTGTTGCTCTTGTACCCTGCCACTTTGCAGAACCCTTCTATTAGATAATATGGGAGTTCTGGTGGCATAGTGGTTAAAGTATTTGGCTGCTAACCAAGAGGTTGGTAGTTTGAATCCACTAGCCACTCTGTGGGGAGAAAATAAAATCTGCTTCTGTAAAGATTTACAGTCTTGGAAACTGTATGAGGGCAGTTCTACTCTTACAGGGTTACTATGAATCAGAATTGACTTGATGGCAGTGGAGTGATTTACTAGATTTAGTAGCTTTCTTGTGGATTATATCCAAACCCACCAGCCACTCCTCAGAAGGCAGGTTGGGCAATATACTTCCGTAGTGATACCACCTTGGAAACCCAAGGAGGGGTCACTATGAGTCGGGCCCAGCTTGAGGGCACTTAACAACAACAGCTTTCTTGTGAAATCTCTGGGATTTGGGTGAAACTTTCCAGAGAAAATTCATTTCCCTTTCAATAGGTCATGCACATTTTGTTTCGTGACATTGATCACACTCCCCACAATGTAACAGCTCTCTTCCCAGTTCCTCCCTGTCATTACCTTTTCCCTGTGTCCTTCTTTTCTGTGTGTTCCTGCCCTCTGAGCTTTCTCCCTGTGCAAATGTTGCCTTTTTGATCTCCCATGGTTATTCTAAGGAGTGTATCTCCCTGGTGTAGTTGTTCTCATAAGTCTGTCTGCTGTTTGGTTGAAAGGTAAGCCTTGAAAGTGAGTTCAATTCTAGGCCTGCAGGGTGACTAGAAACCATAATCTCTTGAGTTTCCCAGTCTTTATCAGACCTGGTCTTTTATGCTTTTGAGTTTTGTTCCACATTTTTCTTCCACTCTATTCAGGATCTTCAATTTCGTTCCCTTTCCAAGAGTTTGGCAGTGGTAGCAGGGAACCATCTACTTTTGATCCCAGGGTTTTGCGGGCTGAGGTTCCCATAGTCCACTATGTCTTTGGCTTATTTCCACGTGTCTTTAATTTTCTTTGCTCTTCTTCAGTGTGGACAAGGCAATCAATTGTTGCATCTTTGATGGCCTCTTGCAAGCTTTTAAGACCCTACTTGCTATGCACCAAAGTGGGATGTAGATGATGTTTTTGTGTAGTATGTTATCCCAGTTAAGCTTGATGTTCCCCCACAAGCATGGTCCTGAGCCCATGGTACTAGTGACTCACTACCTCCAAGTGTTTGGCTGTGGCTAAAAGGTTATCATAAATTTGCGTCCTGTGAGCTCTGTTATATTAATGGACATTCTTATAGCACATACAAATTCATATGTAGCAATATCATCTGCCAAACCTAGGTATGGTCATGGGTATATTTCCTTTAATGTACCCATACCTGATCATTTTGTCTGTCTACCTACATGTTGACCCATACATTAATGTTTGTTATTACTAGTAATGGGGAGCTCTGGTGGCATAGTGCTTAAGGGATTTGCCTGCTAACCAGGAGACTGGTGGTTCAAACCCACCAGCCACTCCTTGGAAGGAAGGTTGGGCAATCAACTTCTGTAGTGATACTGCCTCAGAAACCCAACGATGAGTTGCTATGAGTCAGATCTGACTCGACAGCAGTGACTTTGTTTTTTGGTTTTATTACTGATAATGCAGTATTATGTATGTGAAAATATATACCTTTGTTGTCTGTACCTCTTGTGCACTTCTCTGTGTCTTCCTTTTGCTTAGTGTTATTGTGCTGGTCATTGGCTTTTGTTACATTGCCTTTCTCTCCAGCCAAATCAATATGAGTATCTTACCTAGCTGGCAATTTTCCCTCCTCTCCCCTCCCATCCCTGCTAACCAAAAAGAAAGTTTCCTTCCGTGTATAAACCTTTCCTTTTTAAAACAGAGGACTCATACAGTATGTATCCTTCTGTGATTGACTTGTTTCAGCATAATGTCCTCCAAGTTCATCCATGTTATGAGGTGTTTCACTGATTCTTCATTGTTCTTTAGTGTTGCATTGTATTACATTGTGTGTATGCATATAGTTTGGTTATCCATTCATCTGTTGATGGACACCTAGGTTATTTACATCTCTTTGCTATTGTGAATAGTGCTGCAGTGAACGTGGGTGTGCACATAGCTATTTGTGTCCCGGATCTCACTTCTTTAGGATATGTACCTAATAGTGAGATTGCTAGGTCAAATGGTACTTCTATTTTCAATTTTTTAAAGGAAGCACCATACTGTTTTCCACAGTGGTTGTGTCATTTTACACTTCTACCAGCAGTGCAAAAGAATTCCAATCTCTCCACACCTTCTCCAACATTCCTTATTTTCAGTCTTGTTGAATTTTGCTATTATTGATAGGGTGAGATGATATCTCATTCTTGTTTTCATTTGCATATCGGTAATGGCTAATGATCCTGTGCATTTCTTCATGTGTTTGTTGGCCTCCTGAATATCTTCTTTGGTGAAGTATTTATTCATGTCCTTTGCCCATAATTTAAAGAGCTGCTTGTCTTTTTGATGTTGAGGTATTGAAGTTTGGTATAAATTTTAGAGATAACGTCTCTTGTCAGAATTGTTGTTGTTTTGTTGTTTTTATGTGCTGTCGAGTGGGACCTGACTCATAGCAACCCTTTCTTGGGTTTCCGAGGCTGTTGTTGCCAAATATTTTTTCTCAATCTTTAGAGTCTCTTTGTACTTTCTTGGGGAACTCTTCTTTTACTGTTTTTACCTTTAACTGTGGTGGTTTGGGTGAAATTTTCAAAAGCAAATTCATTTTACATTGGGCATTTCATACACATTTGGTTTTGCAGCACTGGTTACAATCTTCACAAGGTAACAGTTCTCTTCCCACTACATAGTGTACAACTTGGAAAAGGATCAAAGTTGGAGATTCTAGATAGAGTGGGAGAATAAAATGAGCAGCAAAATTTAAATAAATAAATAAATAAATAGGACTACTACTCACCAGCCACTCCTCGGAAGGAAAGTTGGGCAATCCTACTTCTGTAGTGATTGTTGTTGTTGTTAGGTGCCGTCGAGTCGTTTCTGACTCATAGCGACCCCATGTACAGCAGAACGAAACACT